TCAATACCATCTATGTAAACTATGTAAATGCCGAATATTATGTGATGGTTATCACAAATCATGTTTATAAAAATTATCATACGTGTTTCTGTATTTAAAAAAAAAAATTTTTAAGTACGATCACATATATTTTCAATAAGTAGCCCCTCTGCCCTATTTTTTTTTTAAACCTCAGAATTAGTGGAATGCAAAAGAAGTCTTAACTAAATTATTCTTCTGAAATTAAAAAAGTAGGGTAGAGGGGAGTTACAGTATTTATTAGGTTTATATGGTGCGCGAATATAAGAAATAGTCCGTGCAACATCTATTGTCAAATAAACTTTTTATTGTCCTTTGAAACTTAGCCTTCTGCTATCGTTATCGTTATTATTTTTGATAATAATACAAAAAAAAAAAAGGAAAAGAAAAATTTTGAAACTTCTATAATGTTTGTAAAGTTGTCTATTAAAATGTAAATACTTGTAGAATTATCCTTAAGATAAATCTTAAAAAAAATTAAAAAATCTTAAAAAAAAAAATTAAAAAATACTATGAATATTACAGTATTATACAAAATGTTCAAACATATCTTATTATTAGAACGGTCGTCCTCGAATCCTTTGTGGTCTCGGATGACCATGTAATTTCTGATACAAACAACACTTATTGCATAATCTCCTTTCTTCAAGTTTTCTCCAACATGGAGTTTCGGTAGTTCTACAATTCGCGCATTCCCTATTTTGTTGTGTGTTTCTTCGCTTGATTCTAATTTTACCATCAACATCTCGATAAGTTGGACGTTGAATTCCATATTTTGTACGATAAATTCCGCACGGATTGCACAAATGGCTTGTTCCGTATTTACGCCATGTTGAAGTTTGATCTGTTCCACAATCCGAACATATCTTATAATTTTCTTGTTTTTTTCGTAAAGTATTATTATTTGTAATTAGATTCGTTTGTTGAGTAACTAAAGTATCGTTGGATGTAAATGAATCGATAAACCAGATACTTGGATCGATTTGTGGTGTACTAGGTGAAACCATATAGATATCATTCGATTGAGCAGCTTGTGATGGTGTATATGAAAGAAAAGATGACCCTGGATAATAGTTTTCGGATCTAATGTTTAAAAAACATTAATCTTTACTAAAACTTTGTTCGATAATCTTAAATTAATTTTACTTACCTCCCGTAATTTGCATAAGCATCAAATGACAACGATGGAACGTTTTGTTCTGAATTAATGTTATTGGTGTAAGTATAAGTGGAAAGAGAATACATATTAACATCATTTTCAAAATGATACATTTTAAAATGATGTAAAAAAAAAATTCTTTGAAAAAAAAAAAACAAATATATATATATTTATATATATATTTATATTTATATTTATATATATTATAAGAACGTTGTAAAATAACGGATGATTTCGCGTTCTCTAAAAAATTAGTTTTATAAAATTATAAATCTCGCATTTTGATTAAGAACAAAACTTGCTTATATAATACTTTTTATTATACATTATTGTAATTTCTTTAATATCTAACCTTTATTTTCTGCACGTCAACAATATAATCGCTACCCAAATTCCCCACGTCTATCGAATCTATCGAATCTATCGAATCGTTAATTTTTTCTCTTCCTCCTGCGTTCTGGGACATTATCATTAATATATGAGGAAAAACCTGTCATTAAATCATATGGGTTCATTCACAGCAAAACCATGCTTAGAGTATATATTTTATATATACTCTAAGCAAGTTTATAAAATTTTATATTTGAAATTATGCACAATAATAAATATTATTCTTAGTAGCTTAAATATTTCGTAATTTGTATTTTGCAGAAAAAAAATTCCAGACATTGTTTCTAAAAATGCACGGTAATATCTATATTAATTAGAGTTGCAGTTTTTTGAATTATAAGTTTAGTGAACTTTTTTGATTCAATAAATTATAAATCTTTATTGTTACCTTTTCTTTTGTTATTATCTATACCAGAAAACATTGTTAAATGTATGACTTGGTTGGTCACATTAAGGACTCTTAAAAAGGAAAGTTTCCAGGTTACGATTTCTTCGTCTATTATGATAAGTTTCTTCAATTTGCAAAGTATTTATATAAATTTTATACTTGGACATGTATATTGACAAACTCCGGTTGTTTTTTAAACTCTTGTTAGAGTACCTAGTTGATTCTTTAGCTTCATAACACCCTTGTTATTGTAAGAATCTTTTTCAATATTTGCTTATCAGTTATTGGCAAATCTAATTAACCTTATTATACGTAAGAGATTGAGTATATAAAATGAATGATTTATACTTAATTAACTTCTAAATTAATCATTAACTGAATTATCAAAATGCAAACTTAAAATGATATTATACTATTATTAAATCACATTGAACTATTATTAAATCACATTGAACCATTATTAATCAATATAGGAAGGTAATTAAAAAAAGAAAGAATATAACTTATATGGGATGAGTATTGAGAAAAGAGACGAAATTAACAAAAATAAAGTTTTTTTTTTTTGGCAGAAAATCGATTGTTATATTAATAAAACTCTATAATAAATAGTAAAAAATACAATTTTTAAAGAGCTATTTTACAGTATTCTTGTAAATTTTTATTTATTAATTAATATTAATTAATTTAATAACTTTTATACCTTATATAACAAATGTATTATGTAAAAAATTTTTATAAATTGTCAATTTGGTCCCTTTTCTTAGCACCTAGCTCAATATTTATGTGTATTTATAGGAAAACGAAAATACAAGAAACAAGTATCTATACCTATCTTGACGCACTAATTAAATATGTCGAGAAAGCAGTTTTACCTATCGAAACCTCCCTAACCATTTAATTTTTTTAATTAATAAGTTATAATTGTTGTCAACCTCCTAAATATAGCATTCAAGGATGAATTTTATTATCACGTGATATAAATTACAGTGTACAAATAATACTTCGTTTCTTCTTTTTTTAGTAGTTACGGTTTTTCACAATGTCTGATGCTTCTTCCTATATCAATCATGTAGCTAACGTAACTGGTAGCACTCTTGGGGTCGTAAAAGTAGTTTCGGCATCTTCTGCTGTTGTTGCTGACTTCATTACACCATTCGTCCCTTTCATATCAGAGATAGCAAGCATAGTTGAAGAAATAATTACTCTTTATCAAACCGCTGAACATAATAAACGTATATGTGGTTCACTTCTTTCCCGTGCAACAGCTGCCGAAAATGCTGTAAATAATTTAAAAATTCGTAGACTTGAAAATGAAGATTTATTTAAATCCAAAGAATATTATAAAAATTTTCAAAAATTAGTTTCGGTCATTAGTAAAATTAAAATTTTTATTGAAGAAGTTTCTCAAATTAAAGGTTTAAGAAAATTTTTGGCTTCAAAGTCGATTGAACAAGAATTTAAAGGTTTAACTGAAGAATTTGATGGTTTAATGCGTGTTTTGAATTTTACTATGGCTGTACAAAATCAAATACAGATAGAAGAAGATAGAAAAGTTCTTAAACATGATATTTCGGAGATGACAAAGGTATTTTATATATATATATATATAATATGTTAGGGATGGTAAAAAAAAAAAAAAAATTATTTCTTCTAATTGTTTAATTTCTGTTTTGTCGAAAAAAAATGTTAAAAACTACTTTAAAAGCTTACAATCATGTTTTTTATAATCATTTGCCATCCATAATATACATATATATAATACACATACACACTTTATACATGTAAATATGTATAAGTTATAGATATTTATTTATTTATTTATTTTGTCTTCATCCTTTATTTATTAATTCATTACAGTACCTTAAAGAAATTGAAGGTGGCATCACCAATAATATGGCTCAAATTAATGCCAAGTTGGATGATATTACTCAGTTAAATTTAGCTTGGCAAAAGAAATTGTTGAACAATGATGAAAATATTTTTGAATCTGCGTTAATAAAGATGAATGATTTATATGATCCTCCTAATCCAGTAAAACGTGGAAAAGTTTCAAAAAAATCTCTAAATTGTGATGATGTGGCTGTTAAAGAAAAATTTTTTGAATCTAATGATAATGATCTTATCAAAGATATTCTTAGTCAAGTTGTTATTTTGAAAAAACTTAAAGAATCTCAATATATTCTTCAATTTTTTGGTATCGTTCAAGATGGTAATATGATGTATATGATAACTGAATGGTGTGAATATGGAAATCTACAAGATTTTTATCGAGGTTATGGTCCTCTTACGTGGTTTCAAAAATCTTCTATTTCTGTTGATATTGTTCGTGGTTTAACATTTCTTCATACTGTATCTATTTTACATCATGATATCCGTTCTGAAAATATTTTGATCACAAGTCATCAACAAGCTAAAATTGCAAACTTTACGTTAAGTCGTGGTTTTACTGATCCTACCAAAAATGTCTTACCTACTATCGAGATGGTGAGATGGATGGCTCCTGAGAAATTAAGTGATCATGAAAAGAATCCTTATACTGTAAAGTGCGAAATATATAGGTATGAAATCAAAATTTTATATGCATGAACGATCTCTTAATTTTTTTTTTAAAAAAAAATTCTCCTTGTTATTTAAATTATTAAATACTTTATTTTTATTTATTTTTTTAATTCTCTTAATTATTAAATTCTTTTATTTATTAATTTTTTAAAGTTTTGGTATGCTCTTGTGGGAAATTGCTGAAGAAAAAATACCTTTTGAGAATGAAAAAGATATATTGAAAATTCGTAATTTAATATTGGAACAAAAAGTTCGACCATCTTTTAGTATTGGAGTTCCTTCTGAATATTCTAAAACTTCCTATCAATCAATGCAACATAATCCAAATTCACGTCCAGCTCTCAAAAATATATTCATGACTCTTTATAGTCTTTATCAACAATTTCAACCTAAATCATCTCCACGTCCTACTGTGTCTCGTATACTTACAGAAGAAGATTTACCAGAAGTGGATCTTGATGAACTTGCTTTAGATGATTTAACTTTAACTTTGAATGTTTTAAGTGTTAAAGAAGCCATTGCAGAACATAGAAAAAAAAATAGTGATAAATTAAAAGTATGGGAAGCATTTAAAGTACATGCTGAAGAATTTGGTGATATTACTGCAAGGTACAGCACTTTTCAAATTCTTGTTTTTTTTTTTTTATTTATTAAAAGATCTAGTCTAATAATTTCTAATACGTAAACAATATAATATTTTTATAGATATTGGATGGGATATTATCTTTATTATGGATTATGTCCAATAGATGATCCAGATAATGAAGATAAGAAAAATGAACGTTTAGAAAAAGCTGCTGCATTATTTAAAGAAGCTGCTGATACTGGATTAGCTGATGCTCAATTACGTTATGGACATTGCTTATGGTTAGGAGAAGGTGTTCAAAAGAATATGAAAGAAGCGATTGAATATTATCAAAAGTCAGCGGATAACGGTAATACTACTGCATTATACAATATTGGTAATCTATATTATAATGGATTAGGAGTCCCTCGGGATGAAGAATTAGGGATTAGATATTTAAGGACATCCGCTCTGCAAGGACAGCCTAAAGCATTAGATACTTGTAAAAAGAAAGGTATTGGATTGGTGGGTTAGTTTCTTTTTGATTTATTTAATTAAATTTTGAAACTATTTAAATATTTAAGATTTGAGTTTATTTTAATATTAATGTCAATTGTTTCAAATAATTTTTATTTTATATACATAAATACATATTAATATGTACTTTACATTTTTTATAATTGTATTCTACAAAGGAGACAGTAACTTTGTTCGTGTATTATTATGATACTAAATTATTACTTTTTTGTAATATTCGATAATATTCGGTTGTCTGTGGTTATTTAACAAGTAGGGTTCTGCAAGTATTGAACACGGCGGCACTTGCAGAACCTTAATAACAAGTATTAAAACAATAAACAATTTTAAAACCGTGCCGTGTCAATCGCGCTTGTCAAATTTTCTTACCTAATTTGGCATCGGTTAACCAATCAATTGATAGTGATAATAAAATAAGATAATCTATCACTATATCGCTATAACAAATTTTTAAAATATCATACATTTTCTTATATTTTATGAAAAAGTATGTTAGTTTTACCGGGAAATCCTGCATTATCTTCGTTCAAAACTTCTGCCCTTTTGAAAATCATTCAAATTCATATTCCAGAAATCACTTCTATAACTTCACTTTATGTTCATTTCGTACAACCACTTAATAAAGAAGCACTTTTGATTTTAAGTGATCCTGAATCATCTCAAAGAAAAATTCTCGATAATTTATTATTTTACGGGATTTCCGATCAAGTCTTAAATGATTTTAATCATGAAAATTCATTGATTAATCAACTTAAACAATGTTTAACATCTGATATAACAAATTCTGTAAATAATCCAAACTTTTTTTTAGTAATCCCTCGACCTGGTACTATATCACCATGGTCTTCAAAAGCTACAAATATCTTTCAAATGTGTAATTTAAATAATTATGTAGAACGTATTGAACGTGGTATAGCATATTTGTTTGGTACAAAAGATTTTACAAATATACCTTATATTACTTCTGAAAATTTGATTTTATTTGATCATCATTTATATGATCGAATGACACAAATTATAACAAAATCAATTCCAACTTCTGATTATATATTCAAATATGGATCTCCTAGACCTTTAAGAACAGTAGATCTCATAAATGATGTTGATAATAAAAATATTATAATAGATCGTAATTTAGCGCGAGAAAAATTAGTTAAAGGAAATCAAAAACTTGGACTTGCACTTGCTGATGATGAAATAGATTATTTAGTTGATGCTTTCACTGGTGATAATTCTTTAAATAGAAATCCAACAGATGTAGAACTTTTTATGTTTGCTCAAGTTAATTCTGAACATTGTCGACATAAAATTTTTCGTGCTGATTGGACAATAGATAATGAAAAGAAATCAAATTCTTTATTCGATATGATTCGTAATACTCATAAAATAAATCCTAAACGTACAATCTCTGCGTATTCAGATAATGCTGCTGTATTACAAGGATTTAAAGCTACAAGATTTGCTCCTGATTGTAACAAAGAACATGAATACATTTTATTTGATGAAGATGTTCATATGGTTGTAAAAGTTGAAACTCATAATCATCCAACAGCCGTTTCACCATTTCCTGGTGCAGCTACAGGATCAGGAGGTGAAATTAGGGATGAAGGATCCGTTGGACAAGGATCAAAACCTAAAGCTGGATTAACAGGATTTAGTGTATCAAATCTTTTAATTCCTGAATTTATTCAACCTTGGGAAATCGATTTTGGAAAACCTGATCATGTTGCTTCTGCTTTGAATATCATTATTGAAGCACCTCTTGGAGGTGCCGCTTTTAATAATGAGTTTGGTCGTCCAAATATTACTGGATATTTCCGTACATTTGCTCAAAAAGTACCTACAACTAATAATAAAGATGAAATTCGTGGATATCATAAACCTATAATGATTGCTGGCGGTGTAGGAACAATTAGACCAAATCATGTTTTCAAAAAAAAAATTACACCAGGAGCTCATTTATTTGTCCTAGGTGGACCTGCAATGTTAATTGGTCTTGGTGGTGGTGCTGCTTCATCAATGACGAGCGGAGCTAGTACAGCTAATTTAGATTTCGCGTCTGTGCAACGTGATAATCCTGAAATGCAACGTCGTTGTCAACAAGTAATTGATGCATGTACTTCATTAGGAAATACTAATCCTATCCAATCGATTCATGATGTCGGCGCTGGTGGATTATCTAACGCGTTACCGGAAATTGTACATGATAGTGATTTAGGGTGTATCATTAGGTTACGTGATATTCCTAATGATGATTCAAGTATGTCACCAATGGAAATTTGGTGCAATGAAGCCCAAGAACGATATGTTTTAGCCGTAACTTTGGAAAATATTGAATTATTCAAAAAAATTTGTATACGTGAAAGATGTCCATTTGCAGATGTTGGTATTGCTACAGAAAAACAAGATTTAATTTTACTGGATTCCTTACTAAATACAACTCCGATAAATTTACCAATGTCGATTTTGTTTGGTAAACCACCAAAGATGTCTCGTAGAACAAATACTGTGAAATCTTTGCGTGTACCATTTGACACAAGCTTGAAAAGTTATCTTACAAATATTATATTGTTTACGTATTAGAAATTATTAGACTAGATCTTTTAATAAATAAAAAAAAAAAAACAAAAATTTGAAAAGTGCTGTACCTTGCA